AATTATCCCTACCAATTCCGTAACAGCAAAAAGTCAGAAATATTTTGAAAAAAAAAAAGAAGGAGGGAAAAAGTGTAAAATTAATTTTATAGAGAAAACTGATGCATATTCTGAGAATTTTGAATATTTCGAGACAATTGCATGGGAAAAACGTTTACTATGAAAAAATTAAAAAGAAGACATTTTTAGTTAATTGCACAGTTAATTTTGCTCTTGCTACGAGCTGTTTTGTAAATTATGCTTTATAGCAATATGCCTTTTTTTATCAGATTCCTAATATTATAAGTTGCCAAAATGAAACTTTATAATATGACAGCAAAAAATAGAATGTTTTATTTTAATGTTATTTTTTATATATAATTTCAATATATTACCATTATTTTAATGAAATGTATCAATGTTATGATGCTTTCAAAAAACTGGTCGAAAAATTGTCAGATCTCGGAATTAAAAATTTTCTATAGAAACTGATCCTAAAATCGCCAAAATGTTGACAAGTCACCAAATTTAGAGCTGTTTAATAAAAGAATTCACATACCCAAAAGCGAAAAGTTGATTAAGAGTTCTTTATTAGAAAAAAGGAATTTCAAAATGTTTATGTTTCACTTCTTGCTTATAAACTCAAGTATCACATCATTTTTATTAGAAATAGAAACAAATTATAACCCATGAACCCATTCAAAAGATAACCATATATGTCAGTGAATCGCCAAAAATATTCCTCCAAAATGCTAATTCACACTCAAAATGGCAGTCATAAAAACAGACAGAAATTTCAGATGATTAAAATTAAGGACCTTCTGCTGATTTTGACCAAAATTAAGGACTTTTAAGGACCAAAAATCATTTCCAAAAAATTTAAGGACTTTTAAGGACTCTTAAGAACCGTACGAACCCTGTAGTAATGACTCATGTAGTGATGCCTAAACAATTTTTTTTATGTTAGTAATTGAATAATAATGGAGTATGGTAACCTTTTATGTTGACATCACGCTTGGCGATAATTACAGATTTAAGTTAAACAATTTTTTTTAGGTTAGTAATTGAATAATAATGGAGTATGGTAACCTTTTATGTTGACATGAGGCTTGGTGATGATTACAGATTTAAGTTAAATGCGCTAAAAAATGTTGACAAGGAAAAATTTTTTTTAAATTTCTTTCCATATGCTAAAAATAGATTTTGTTCATAATACTCATAGATCCAAACATTACATTTAAGGCTATTTGAATTAAGAATAACTGATTTGTTATTCACATAAACCCAGAACCAGCGCCAGGGCTCGTATGGCCATACCGGGTACAGAATTTAGAACCCACAGGAGACTGCATCAGGCGGTAAGATATCTAGTGCCAGCCCTCAATAATGCTTAAGTACATGTGGGAGTTTATTTATTCAGAACTCTGATAAGCCTTAAGCATGTGCAAGAAATAGACATAAGTATAATAAATAACTAATATACTGTAATTCAGGCTTAATCGTCTCTGCACAATAGAAGCAAGGTAAAATTTAACAGAACAACTTGTTGTTAGTCGCCAAGCTCATGATGCATAGCCAAATATGTATAGTGAATGAGCTAAATTTGATGATGATAGCCGCTAATTTTAAAAGTTTTTGGATATCGCAAAACAAAGCTGAAATTTTCCAATTAACGGATTTTGTAAACAAATGTGGAGAAGCGGTAATAAATAAAGATGAAAAGAAGTTTTTCATTGTGATGACAATGCTCCTCAATCATCAGTCAATTAATTGAATGTTGAAATTTGTAGTACGGTTGGTTACAGATCCAGAAAATACCGCTACTGTGAAGAAAGTTACAGAGAACGAAAAAATATTGATTAACAAGTTAGTCTAAATTCTCGACAAAGTAGTTGCAAGATTTCAACAATGTAACTTAATAAGAGATTATGTCTGTCTACAGAATTAAAGAGAAAGTATTAGCACAAAAAAGAAGCAAATTAAAAAAACTTACATTGACAGAAATGTTTAATAAGGTAAACAAATAAATATTAAGTTTTTTTTTTTTTTTTTTTTTTTTTTAAATTTTGATACTCTTTAGATCATAAATACTTCATTATTTCATAAATCATGATTTCATATTTTAAATTTTATAATTTCTACATGCCATCTTACTAGATTTAAACTGATGATCTAAAATCTGGAAAAATTCCAAATCCGGAATTGCTGAAGTCCTGACGAGTTCAGATTTCTTACTTCTAATTATTGTATCGTACTGTACATACACAATGCAATAACTGATACCTGTAACTTCTATACTTTGCCAATAATAGCACCATTGCACATTCAATGACAGTAATTCACCAATAAACAGCCGACTAATTCTTATATAGTAATGTATAATGTAGCCATTTTCTGGGATGTGGTGATCAGTTCTGTCACTTCTGGCTCTAACATTTTGTGTCTAGATCACATTGAAAAATACAAAATTCATCATCAGTTATTTTTTTTTTTTTTTTTAAATCCAGACTGGGACATTTTTTTGATATACTAACCCTGAATTAAAATTTCTGTTCTACAAAATTGCTCAAATTTAACTCACTGTCACTATTAATCAAGTCTTATTATCGATTAGATTAATTGTCTCATAATTCTTAATCTTATCACATTTTGGTTTGTTTTAGATATGCAAGGTCTTCCACATTGTTTTTCATTTTCAACAGCTACATCAGCCCTCTGAAAAGGCTTCATATTACTGAAAACTTGCATTCATATAAAACATGCTCTATATATGAACATTTCATCTTTTAAAATGCTTCAGTTGCATTTTCTCCGAGTTCACATAAAACTATCAACAAAATGTTAAAATTTCAGTGTTCCTTTGTCATGACACAATACCAGACACACATAATATATATATATATATACTCTGAATAGGTACATGCCAAAAACAAAAAACAGAAACTCATTTTGAAGTTCTGAGATGTTATCCCACTTCCCTCACTCAAAGTGAATTGTACAGGAAAGTACAGGATTGTCAATGTGAGCTGTCTGATTATACTTCTGCCACATTATATATATAAAAAATTAGCTAAAGGTTACTAGCTAAAAGTTACTTCCATGAATAGTTCAATATAATTACCCACAGCTCACCATTTAGTATATAACTTAAAAAGAAATACAATTTAATCCATTTCTCATGCTAATACAGTTGCCTAGCAAAATACAACACAAATAAAAGATAAAAATACAAATCTTTTAACTTGCACTACAGAAACAGGAGCAATGAAAGCAAATATGTATTTTCCTCCCTTTTTCTACCAATTTTACCACTTGAGAACATGGAGGGGAAAAGTATGCAGGGTAGAGAATTTCTGATTAAATGATACACACAGCACATTAACTACACAAATAAAGACAACACTAACATTATTATATACGGGTTTCCAAAAATTAAGCAACAAATTGAAAAATTCTTATAAATCAGCTAAAAATAATTCAAAACGTTTTAAATCTGGATATGCTAAAAATATCGAGTAACTGTATCGAGTAGCATTATGCAAAAGAATGGTGCTGCACCACTTTACATAAATACAATACAGCTTAAATCCAGCTGAAGAGAATATTGCTATTCAATGAATGACAGTATTTCGAGATAGCTAAAGGGTAAAAATAAGTTTGAAGTGACATTTACCAGCAGAATTTCTTTCCAGATCACTTTGGGGTTAACACAGGGCAAAGTGTTCCCCATTACAAATAAGCTGATAGTTGATTGGTTGAAAATGAACAACTTGCAATTTTTTTGGAAAGGAAGGAAAAAGTCGCACGTCTTTCTTTCAATAGTAAACCAGGCAGAAAAGTTGTCCGAAACAGTTGTTCGTGTGAAACAAATGCCGTGTGATATGGGCCTTAAGCTACCAGCATTGTGCTTTCGCTTATCTCCCACCACTACAGACAAGATTTGATTTTGACATGCAGTCATGCAAACTGGACTGAAAATCAGTAGAGGTCTGTTCTCTACACTGGTGAGTCCTGTTTTACTTCACAGAGTGAGTCTTGACATATTTACATATGCAGAGAAGCAAACACTTGATACCTTCCATCTAACATATGGAAAGGGGTACCTATGCAGGAGGTGTGTTCTTGTATACAGAGAAGTACCTTTAGTAAGGCACACATACCTGTATGTATTTACAACATGGAATTTCAATGCTCAGAGGTACAGATGGCATACTGGATCCTACTGTTTGTCTGCATTATGCTGCAAATGATGCATTAATTTTAGAAGCAGATAATGCCTGCCCTCACAATGCTTGCTTCATGCACAAATTTCTTGAAGAAGAAACTACAGCTCATGGAATGACCAGCAAGCTCTCTTGACCTTAATCTTAAGCATGGGTAGGATGCTCTCGAGAGGTATACTGCTGGCCTCCAACTTTCTCCTCAAATCCCAGAAGGGCTTAGAACAGCTTTAAGTGATCAATGGGCATTGCTACTCCTGCAACTCATTGACAACATAAAAAAAAAATGAGACACTGCTGTCAGGTTTATATTGCTGTTCCAAGTAATTGTACTCACTATTGAGAACTTTTTATGATTTGTACATCCAAATTAAATTTCAGATTTTATGTTCCTGTAGATATCACAAAACTTAAGAGTTCAGTATAATATTTTCTAGTGCTTTTAAGTTGCAAGTGGTATAATAAATATTATTTGCCATGTTTCGTCCAATCAGCTTGCAGACATTTGAGATATCACGAGTTTTCCGCCTGCTGCTTAACTTTTGGAAACTAGTGTATCATGCACATTTTAAAGGATGATTTAATTTAAATAATATTCTTTGTACTTACACAAAGTACTTGACAGTATTTTGAGATAGCTAAATTTGTGCATACATTTTACACTTTTATAATAAATCAGAATCATTATAATAATTTTATATAAACCATGTGCTGAACCCGGGAGGGAAATACATGAGGGGGAAAACTATGCAAATAAATTCAGAATTTCAAAGTATAAATATATATGTATAAAATTATTACCCAAGATGCAGCGCGAAGCTACAGTTTCTAAATCTTTCAGATATGCTCGAACATGTCCCCTATTTGACATAAATAAAAAATTGTTAAAATACACAATTTGCACCAAATTTATTTCTTTCCTCTGAATTAATATATATCATACAACAGGAATATGCATTTTTCAGATTATTATATTTGCAGAACAAGAAAGCCCAAAATAACAAATTAAAAGATAATTCACTCTACTTTTTAACATTATGCACATCTATTGTGATCTGATGTAAGAAAGGGTACAAGAACATAAGACATGGAATTTTTGGGAGGTGGGGAGGAGGGTTCTAAGACTCAGAACTTTTTAAATGCTCATCAATTTTGTATTACGAGGTTTTCAATTTGAATTATTAAATTAAAAACGAATCATTTCAGCTAATATTATGAGGTAAAGTATGTTCAACTGTTTTGTCAATTTTCAATACCGATTGTTAATATATTTTATGAGGGGAAAATATTGTTCTTTCAAAAGGGAGAAAGAAAATCTGAAAGGTTTCAGATTTTAAATTAAGTTCCAAGGGGCGGTTTTTAAACATTTTGTCTGTTACCTATATTTATTAAATATCACGTTCTTCGCACTTAAACCATAAAATTCAGTCCAAGAGGATATCGCAAAATAGTTTTAAATTGAGCATTTCTTTAGAATTTCAGATACACAGTCTCGCACACTGGAGACAAAAATTTGTTGCTGTACAATGTTGCCATTGTTAATCAAAAATTCGTTAAAGTTTTTACAAAATATGAAATTGATAATAAAACAAATTCCAAATTTGGGTTTCCACATGCCCATATTCACAGTAGGATTACGTCATTCAAAATTCGATGGCTCTATGTACTGTTGTTTTATGACAATGTGAGAAATATACATATATTTATGCAGATTTTTTCATTATTTAATTTCTTCAAATATAATGCAGGACTCTAACATTTGGTGGCAATAGTTTGAAAATTGAAACGGACATTTATAGTGGACTAATGCAAAATCGCAAAACGAAAACAATAGCCCTTCAGAGACCCCTTTGGACTAAAAACATGAAAATTCTAGAGTTATTATTGAAACACAGTACGATTTCTTATATATAATAGTTTTTTGATTGTATTACTCTTCAGATTTTGCTTATATGCTTAAAAAAATATGATTTGCTTCTTTCAATTAACTTTAAGCCTTTGTTGAAGAATAGTAGGATCAACATTGACTTCTTCAACAGTTTCACAGGAAATCTCTTCCCATCTTCTACCTGGCAACACACCTAACCACCCAGTCTCTTAAAATTTAATCATATTTTCAAACCATTCTTCGATATAATCTCTTTCAAACATCAATTTTCTCACAGTGCAATTAAACCATTATTGCACTTCTAATAAAACAATCTGATGAGTGATAGAAAATAATTTTGTGGTATTCATTACTGACATTTTAGTGTTCTTAATTTGCATAACATTTTTTCTACATTGCATGAAAAATATCATTTACTGGTAAAAATTTGAATTTTTTTTTATTCTAGATTTCTTTTCACTATGGTAAATAAAACATTCATACCAAATTTCTATGAAATAAATCATATAGGATGGATTGTAAATAGATCTGAGAATGTTCACTTTATTTATAATTGCTCTGTATTTTAAATATGAAAGATATGTATGGAAAACTTATAAAATCCAGACAAATTGTAGGTAAATATGACATGCAGAAAACTTTTATCTTACCATAACATATTCTCAGTGGTGATTTAGTTTAAGATGGAAATATATTGAAAAGTGATAACATTATAAATTTTGATTTAATATTAATTTTTCACACTGGATTTCGTTTATGGTATCTGCTGCAAACAACTTTTGGCCTAGCATATTCTTTGAACTTTTTTAATTAGATGGGATGGGAATGGTAGGACTTTGGGGTTTACAGTAGAATAATATGCAAAGCAATTAAGCAATAAGCACATTTTACAATATTCAACTAGATAAACATTTAAGGAATTTGAAAGGCTTGTCTAATACTTGGGACACATCTTTTGAATTTCATGAGACAATGTAAATATAGCACATTATTTTATTAAAAAAATCTGCAGGGAAAATCATTACCAAGATGTCTTCACTGCAATGAGTATTTCCTTTATATAGTGGCTTTAACAAGAGAAAATGGCAGTAGCATAATTTGGAGTTAAGAAAATATCATTTCTGTCATCCATGAAAACAAAACCATCAAAAAGAGTGACTAATGCAAATCAGCAATTCATTCAATATTGACCTAAATGTAATTTATTTAATATACATACATACAGAAGAAATCTAATGTAAATTCATATTTAAATTTCCATTTATAAAAATTTTTCAGCGATTTATTTAAAATAAATGGCATATATAAACACACCCAAAATTTTATTTTTAATAGATACTTCCTGATGGCCGATGTGAAGCCTGAACGTGCATTCTGTTAGACACAACTCTAGGTCATGGAGAGACATACCCTATGTTTTTTGATTTACCATTTCACTAATCACCATAAACTTTCTACTTCCTGACTTGAGCATATTTCTTTGTTGAGGATGGAAATGTACATTTTATATAATTAACACAGAAAAATGGCTAGATTCCAAAAGCTAAATTTTTGCCACCTAAAAAAAAAATATAAACCATGTGTATGCCCGCAGATTAATAAACATTTGTTTCTTGCCAAGACAACTATAAAAAGGAAATATCTTGCAGTATTTAGAAAGGTGGCATATATCAAAATTTTCAACTCGGGAATGGCAGGGATTTACAGTAAAATGCAAAGCAATTATTTTCTGGTCTGGCTTACTTTCATCCTAACACAAACAAATTAACAGTTACAAATTCATACCGATATGCATTTGGTGAATATATGCACTCTGTAGAGAAATAATCCAGGTTCTTAAAAAAGGCATACAGCACAATTTCCTTTTCATACGTGTACTTAAATGGTTTGCATCTAGGAATTGAGTTACCAGCATCCTGCAAAAAAAGAAAAGAAACATAAGTTCTTAATCATTATTCATTTTAATAAAATTACTCATGAGTAAATTAAGACTTACAGTAGTAATATTTGTGCATCGCTGTAGCCTTGCTATGTCACCACGAAGAACTGAGAAAAATAAGGCAAAGAGGTATTACTAAATTTGATTTATACTCAAGAGAATTAAAATTATATATATGTAATAAAAACAAAGTCACAAATAACTGAAGAGCAGGAGGAGGATGGCATAGAAATGTTGATCCTTAATGACTAGGAAACTGGAGGCAAATGTAGATTAAATCTTCGGTTTTATTTTGAGCAACATGTTGCGGCTACATATGTACCTGTTCCAAAAGGCTTACACTTTTGATAACTTTGTAGCAAGAAAGCAGCAGCAGACAGACAGCAGTGTAGCTAGGCCAAAGCATAGAAAGCAAGTGAGTTATGTTCAGGATGACATCTTAAGTCAAACTGAGTTAGTTTTGGTTCTCAAAGCATTCTGATGGGACAGTTAATATTGCTCTAAAATTACTATTGGCTGGTTGAGTTTTAGTTTCATTTACATCAATCATAATTACGTAAGAGTAATATGACATAGATTTTTCTCGAAATGACGCAGTGCAAATAGATGTTGCTATTTTTAGAATAGAGAAGGGAAATTAATTCCCGCTGTTAATTTAATCTTTTACATATTATTTTTCTTAATTATATATCTATAGTGATTGTTAAAATATATTAAACTGGTGTACTATAATTATTTCATTTTTAAATACACAACATATTCTGATGACAACAGACTTATAGCCCATAACTGAGGAAAAAAGAATTTCGACTCCTAATTTCAAACACTCAGAATATTAAATGAAATTTAGGATAAAGAAAATAAGCTAAGACTTGCAGAAATGAGAGAACTGCTATATCTATAGATATGATATTGTTTGCAAAAATAGAAAAACCACAAAGGATTGATTTTGTAGGATAGGTATAATAGCTAGAAACATACAAAAGATTAAAGTTTGATGCTTTAATCATCAGGAAAATATGCATGTGCATGTAGAATGACAGGCACAGATACAGGTAGTAGGGTTATAAGTACAAATACGGTGGTATGACGCAGCACAACATTACATTGCTAATGTAGAAGTAGACCATTATCACAGATCAAACTTTGTTAAGAAAATTTCATGTTCACCTGTTGATTGCAGTGAACTACTCTGATACCTATAGCTATAATATTGGTAAGTCTTTAATTTGAGATCAAAATAATGTGCATAAATCAGAAACATGCAAGTTTCCGATACACGGCAATGTATATCTTTGAGCAGACATTTGCAATATGGCGCTGGCATTGAACATCTTTGACTTACAGTAATGGTCTCATTAAAAGCTGAGGAAGCAATAGCACATCAAAAATGTTTCAGAAGTACAGTCTGTCAACAAGGAGAAAAGACTTGACCATGCCTATATCACATGGTGCTGGACAATCCCAGAATTTTATTTTAGGTAAAGAGATTAATAGTTCTGTAACAATAAAATTTGGATTCACTTGTTTGCAAGCTTGAATGAGTTCTGTGTGTCACTTGTTTGCAACCCTGAAATGAAATCTGCTTCCTAACAGGCGAGGTCAAATCTCTTCTCGTCGTGGACCAGTCTTGGACACAATACTCAATATTCATATCTGCTCGGTACTTCATTCTAGCACCCCCATATCATATGAAAAGTTCAAGGCATCTTTCATGTACAGAGCTATGCACGTTTATTTAATTCCTGGTGTTGCAGTTTTAATTGGTAAAGATGGAGATTAAAGAGAGTTCCCAAAATAATTAAAATTTTAATTTCTTTGATTTTCCAAGACACCCTCTCCAAAAAGTTGCATGGTTAAATATAACGAACTAGCCCTTAAATTAAATATGAGTAATTGAATATTTTTAAATGCTTACTTTATAAGAGCAGTCTCAAACTGATGGCTTTCAAAGCACTCTTATGCATCTCATTAATACATTTTAGTTAAAGGATGATCCAAAAGTCCGTAACATTTGAAAATTCAATAATTCATACGCAAGTACAGAGGTAAAAACTGACACATATGCTTGATATGGGGTTTCATGGAGAGGAAAAAAAAGGCCAACATATGGCACTGGGAAGCAAAATGTCAGTGATGCCGCATGAGAATCGTGCTGAAATGAGCTGTCAGTGAGAGAGGAAATCAGATCCTTCATGATTTTGTCACTTTTCTATCCTTGCCTCTGGGTGTTGGTCACGGTGTGATGTGGATTCTTCCCATCAATTGTAATCGGACCTTTTTCTATGAGGAAATGCATGACTCTGCTATTCAAATTGTCAGTGTGACAGGTGCAAGGTACACTGATATGCTATAGAATCGCATCCTCCCTAGTCTGACTGATTAACACCTGTAAGAAGGTATGACTTTATGCAGGATGGCACTCCACCCCATAATGCTACCCATGTGAAAGATCTCCTGTACACATCGTTTGGGAAGAATCACATGCTGAGTTCTGAATCATCAAGTTTGTTACACTGCTTGAAGAAATTAAAAGCGAATAATGTAAAAATTCATTTAGTATAAATGAAGCAGTTATGTTGAGGAGATATATTAACACATTCTTTTTTTATTTGATTAATGAATTCGAAATTTTCATGATCCAAGAATTAATAAATAAATCCTTGCCAAGCTATATAATAATACATGAATAACAGATATATCACTTCTTGTTGACTTAACCAGACATTTAAAATATTCTCAATAAATAGCTGAAGGAAATGGTAAACTTATCATTGACATGTATGCTTGTATCAAAATGTTTGATGCTGTTCTGTTATTGGGAGCAGAGTCATCGCTAAATGTTTTGTTAAACTCACCAAGAGATTGGTACGTGTAAAGTTATCAATGTTTACTTTTTTGAAAAGAGTAAAAGAATGCCTTTTCAAGATTGGCAATGAAAATACAAATTCTAAAAATGAAATGGTAACTTGTGTTTTTATAATTATTGTATTTACCATGGATATGAAAATTTGGGACTTAGTGAATGATGACACATCTTTCACACAATTTCTTCATAAATGAGGAATTATTCACTCTGAAAGAGCATGGAAAACCATGGAATAATGCTGTACTTCAAAGAAATACCGAAATGGAGATGAGAATATGTGACATGCTGAAAAAAAAACAAGGATTACGTTCTTAAAATTGGTTGGAGGATCGAGAATCAGTTTCTTAATGGTAATTTGTTTCATTTATGCATGTTGTTTAGAATTAACTTCAATTTGGTCAGTATCAACTTGAAATGAATCACTGTACTTCTGTTGATTGGAACAGTTACATAAGGGTAGTCTGTGGCCATGCATCAATATCTAGATTGTCAGTTAGAATAGGTGGCACTGTTTATATTATCAAAGCTAACAAAAATTTTGTTCAAAACATTTTCCACTTGAAAAAACAATGTTTTATGGCGGGATTTGCTGAGAAATAAAAAAACACTTTTTAGTTGTGGTGCCTAACCACTCTGCCAGAACTTTGCTTAGAGTTACTGAAGAAAATATTATTGATGGCACTATAAAATAGTGAGACTGCTGAAAAGAGTAGAACTGAAGAATTAACACTAACTAAATTTGAGCATTTTTGTGTTAAACCATAAATATAAATTCAATCCCGATACTGGCTGTTATATGCAAGCTATTGAAAGGTTATGGGACAGAGCAAAATGGAAAAAGAAGCATCATTGCGGCACTGGCTACAATTAGATTCTTATTCAATTGAGTTTACGTGATGGTCAAGTGTTCTAAAATACAAATGTTTTGTGGCATTTTAAACAATATATGCAGTTTCATGACTTCATGTTAATCTTAGTTCGCTAACCAATTTCCCTTCCCCTGATTTCTTTAGGAAGTTGTTCAATTTACATTAAAAAATTTCTAATTTTATGAATATCTGTTATATTATTTTTACCCCTTGGAGTTTTCTTCAACTTAACCCCATCATAAATATTTTGGTGATTATTTTTATGCTTTGAAGCTTTTGCCAATATCTAAATACAGTCCAATAACAGTACAGTACCAAACTTTTAAAGTTAAACTGTAATTACTGGAAACACAATTTGAATCAAAATATTTTGTATACTTCCTACCTATACCTTAAATACTACCCTATTATTTAAATAAAAAAGTTTAAAAAATATATAAGAAAAATAGCATTATTGTGATAAGAATTTAAAGGAAGCTTTTTTTATAATTATAATAGAATTTCACATTATTTTAATTACCATTAAAATGTACATGAATGATACCCAGAAAATATTGTGCATATTTTCATTTGTAACGAAGCTAATTAACTTACCAGTGTGATGTAGGTAAGAATTTTTGCAACTGGAAATCAACAAGTCTGGGAAAAGAACCTAATTTACGAATGAGCATCTGCTATTTGTGATGAAAACAATATCTAGTAATTTTCCTCATGGTTACAAATTTTATTAATGTTGAAATACCAAAAATATCAAGGTGTAGTAAGAAATAAAGAAGTTTATAATTGCTTATTATATGTATTTTTCTACATGTATCAAAGAAAAATTTAATAAATAAAAAAAGAGGGTTGTCATTATTTATCATCACATTTTATCCTACTTCAAAAGTTTTCATAAAATTTGCTTATTTTAGTTTAAGTAAGTTATTTAGTGATTAAAATATATTAGAATTATTTGATAGAAATGTCAGTTTGTAAACGTGTTTAGCTGTCTATACGGTTGAACTGCAAAGAACAATCAAGAGAAATTTCTTGCAATAACCAAAATTTAGATTTCATATAAAAAATAAACATAAATTTGAATTTTTTCTTTTGCATTCTGATTATTATTTACTATGTTTTTATAAATATATGCAAGGGATTAGGCATTTAAAGAAAACGCTAAAATGAATTTAACCAAAAGAAAGAATCGCTGAATTTTTAACAGGGAGAGAAGGAAAATTTTTACATTTGAGAAATAACTATAAAAACATAGTAAAAAATACAAATGAATATTAATGAAATAAATTTTCAATTAAATTACATTCATGACAAATACAGTTTTTAAAAAATTTCTAAACATATTATAAACTTGCATGTAACACAGCACACATGTCACCAGTAGCCCCAGGTTATAAAGGGATTAAATCCATATATTAGGGGTATAATATGGCATAATATATATACAAATGTATGCACATACATAGTATATAATTCTTTAAAAAAAAAAAAAAGAAGAAAGAAATCCTGTCAGCTGCTTTCATATCAAGTATTTGCAATCTGAGTTTGAGAACACTGCAGTATATTTTTAACATAACTATTAAATACAGTGTAATTACACAAGATTGTAAAAAGTTTTCAATTAATAATTTCTGTTATAACTTGGAACTCAGAGTGTCATAACTTTCTAACTGGAAAATGACATTTTTGATTGAAGGAGTGAAGTGCAGCTCATTCACAGGCAAAAAAGAGAGTTATGGATCATTAAAATTGTATCAATTAAGAAATGGAAAAATAAAAGTTTCTGGGAGGAAAATATTATAGCCATTTTCTTTTATGCACTGCAAATTTTGTTTATGGTAGTATTTAAAAAATAATTTTTATTATTTACGAGGACTGGCACCTTCTTTAACTTCCGTAAATATTTGGAAAAAGTTCTATTTTCTCCAGACACTTTTGAAAAAATTATACTTCCCTCTAACTTTCGATGAATTTGCAGCCAGTGGAAAGCTTGTTAAAAAGGTGTTTGGAAGAAATAATATTATTTTTTTAATATTGGAAGATGCAACAGAAGCAATATGTGAAAGGAAAGTTATGCAATCAGAACTGAAATAAAAGTATTTAACATAAAATTCAGTTTAATCACGTTCAACAGGCTTAATATACAAGTTTTTCAAGATGGTAATCGATATCTCTACATTTTATAAAAAGTGAATAATGTCAAGGAAACACACATGTTATGGAAAAGAAGCAGTAGCTAAATTAACTAACCATTCATTAACACTGTTTCAGCAACATCGTCAGCATTATGACCTATAAATAAAATAAAAAAATAATAATAAAAATAGATTAAGGTAACAGTAAAAAAAATTAATATATAACTGATTTAGTTTGATACTGACTAAGAAGTTCAATGCTGCAGAATAATTTTTCATAATAAACCATACATTTCATACAAAAAATTTTATTTTAAAATTTATTTTTAAAAAAAATATAGAGATAAAATCAAAAAACACATTTGGGAAAAAATAAATTTTACCAAAAGTATGTTTTTTTTAATTGTTAATGTTATATATTCTTTTAAATATAACATATAGAGTTTGTCAGTTATTACCAGTTACAAGTTTGTCGACACCAAGCTTTTCTGCGCCACTATCAAGTGCTTGTCTTCGAAAAACTCCACAAAATGTACCTACATGAAATAAGAATTATGCATTGAAAACACATTACTGCTTAGTTCAATGCAAAGGTACCTTAAACAATGATATTAACAATTCATAATACTTTAATACAGGCATGTCGCCTTAGCATATGCCAATAAATTTAAAACTCACAAAAAAGAACTATTATTTAATTCTATCATATTTAAAATCCATTTCATACTTTTAATATGTAGCTGTGCAATGAATTATTGATTCTGGTGTCAGATATTCAAAGCAAAATGAGCTGCATACTGTCACTTCCTATGTTTTTCTATCCATCCCTCATCATAAAAGGATTATGCATGCTGAATAGCATTAGCATTCGGTGTCCGCCGATAACATCGCGGATGAAAATGTCCCGGAGAAAACAACACAAGGCGAAAACATTGTGCTACAAAACATCGTGGGAGAAAACATCACAGTTCTAAAACATCGTGGTACAAAATATTGTTGGCGAAGACAAAGCGGTTAAAAAATTTCGCAGTTCGAAAAGATTGTTGCCGAAAATATCATGGTAAAAAATAAAGTGTCTACAAATCATCGCATCACTATAACATCGCAGACATGCTTTTTTCAGGTTTTAATAATTGTAAATGGATATTCCCTTAATGATTTGTGAGCACAAGATGGAAAAAAGGATAGTTTTTACTTTAATATTTTTAATTAATTAATAAATTTTTGCTGATAAAGTAAGAAGGAAACTTAAGCATAATTAATGCAATTTATAGCACTTAAGAGAATTTTAAACCAATATAGTTAATTAACAAAGGTCATTAATAAATTATTTTTGATAAAATTTTTACTGGTAATTATTCATGAAAAGGATAATCTAAAAAAAGATAAGAAAAAGGAAGGTAAGTAACTCCATGACCTCATCTATAAAAAAATTGCTAACTTAATTGTGAGATTATTTTCTTCACTTTTGTTAATCTAATACACTTATAATGAAAATTATTTCTTGTTTCGCTTCAGTTTATTCTTAAAGTGTTATTAAAATTTTCATGCACAGCGTGAAGTCAGTTACTTGAATGTCGATTTGTTAGTTATCACGAAAGTCGACTATATAATATTTTAGTAGGTTTGGGATTTATTAGATTGTGCCAAAGCACACTACGGCTATCTGCTTAAGGGTTGGGATTCCTTTGTGGAGTACATTCTCAGGAACTGGTTCATATGCACATTATACTTTAGAAAAATCACGAAAATCTTCATGAAGCTTTTTTTTTTTTTTTTTTTTTTGTGTGTGTGTGTGTGTTGTTCTAGAAAGAAATAATGTATACTTGCAGTGAACCTTCTTGTTGTCTATCTCCTAAGGACGAACAGTGTTTTGAGAATCAATAAACATAGGTTTTAATTATTACGCTATTTCACCACATTCCACACAAGATTTTAAAAAATACAGAATTTTGAGTGGTCGCTTTAAATTGGATTGCTTAAATTTACTTTCAGATTTAGGCTGCCCAGATGGTATACCAGTTTGGCGAGCCAGGCTGTGATACCAAAGGTCCCGGGTTCGAATCTTCAAGGAGGCATTATTGTAAACTGTCCATCCCTTCATAGAAGGCAAAGGTGGCCCACATATTTGGTGCCTCCATAATAAAGTGACCACCACTTCTGGCTTTAGTAGTGGCCAAGCCAAAGTCGGCTGAGGGCCCGCCATTGGTAAAAAAAACTTTTAGATTTAGACATTTCTTATTAAGCACTTAACAGTATTTTATTTAACTTTTCATACACATTTTACACGAAAATTTTGTAATTACTTATTAAACTTACAGTGACCAACTTCTTAAGACTATTTTAACGTTTTTCTTCGTTTTTTCTTAATTTTCAGAATATCTTAATTTATGCCCTTCAGAAATCTGTAGCAAAATTAAACTTAATATTTCTGAGTGAGATTCTATTTTGCGGTGATTCTTTACTCTCGGAATTCTTTACCTAGGAACTTCCTAGGTAGAATAACTACCTAGGAAGCGACTAAATTTTTTTTTTGCAAATTTTTTAGTAAAGATAAAATTTAATGAAATAAAAACTTAATTTCCCTTAAATTGTTTTCAAGGATTAAAAACTGCACACATTTTACATTGACTTTTATTTTCAGTGACTAAAACATTTCAAGTACTTTTTTTTTTGGGGGGGGGTATTTAAATGACAAACTATTTGGAATAAGAAACTATATTATTTTTATGTATCATTTTAAATGTTTTATAAACATATGATTTTAAATATCAACCATAACTGAATTTTAAAATTCAAGTTCGCTTCATGCATGATTATTTTTTAATTAAAATAATCAGAAAGAATATTTTTTAAATAAAATGAAAGTATTAGTGTTCTACACATTCAACTAAAAGCATCTAACACATTTTGGAAAAAATATATCTTTAGAGAGGCATGTTTTCCATAGTTTACGTTTTAAATCAAACAAAAATATCTTTTTCATCTTTATATTTCATGTAGTTAGCCATTTCTTATACTTTGATATGCATTCTCTTTAATATACATGCAAGGCTTAATTAGTATGTTGGTTGTGATTTATACTATATATTAATACTTGTATATACTCAAATCACTTTTTTTTGGGGGGGGATAGTACTGGTTTGCTCAGACTTCCACTTTTTGTTCATTTATTAGTGCAACATGTTTAATTTTTATATAGTGGCGATGGTTTGGGAGTGTGAGAAGTTGTATATAGTCCTTATTTATTTTAAATATTGTCCTCATTCATTTTTGTAGTCTTTATTATATTGTAGAATGTCCTTATATATTTTGGTAATAAGCATGGTTTCTTACTGATCCTGTGACTCAATTATTTTAATGCATGTTATATGTTAGTGCATATTTCCCACGGAAATTATATTATAAAACTCTATTAATATATGTCTTAAACATATTAAAAACAATTAATTCAAACAGACTCATGAATGTATGAATTTTTATAAGCAAAATTTTATAATTTTACGTGTGATATAGTGCAGAATATCAAAAACAAAGATGTATAAGTTGTCAAAATATAAAATCTTTAAATGAAAGAAAAAATACTTTTTTTGAGGAGTTAAATACATTTAACAAATGGCATTTGGAGAAGATGATTTTGCTGCTTGAAATCTGAATAACTAAATACTGAAAATTTAAAAAATATCTTAAATTGTTTAACCCTTTCAGTCTCAATTTATTTGTTTGTTTCAACCGACTTGATTTTTTTTATGTATTGTTGGTAATCATCACAAATGAACTTGTCAGTCTGTCACGAAGCCTCTATAAGAAGAGGCATGCATCAATTTTGTAGTAGGCATGTTAGAAATGATGCCTACTACCAGAGGGACATCAACTATGTAGTAAATTGATGCGTGTAATTCCATCTAGGCTTCTTTAAACATCTACTGGGACTTATATAATCCATTGGGACTGAAAGGCTTAAGGGAAAGAATTAAATGCTGTATTTCACCGCAGTTAAAATTTTCAGAGTATTGATTTATGAGTTTTTTACAAAAGTTCATTTTTTAATAAATGATTTAGTTTCACATTTTATATTCAGTTATTTTGTTCATAAAATGAAATTTTTTCTTTCGTTAATAGTAGTATATATTTGTTTGAAAAGAGAAGTGAGAATCTGGGTTTGGCTGAAACTGTAGCAATCTGTACGCAAGATCAAAGCAATTAGGAACTTCTCGGGAAGCTAACGCTTGAAGCTCTTACTTCTGAGTATTGCGTTGAAAAACAAGCTAAGCAGCTGAACTCAGGGGGAAGGGACGAATTACAGCTACTAAAACGTTCAAGGGGGGAGGAACGAATTACAGCTAGGAGAGTCAAACGTTAGAACGGGTGTTTTGATCAAGCTTAACTCCTGGGGATCTGTCCCCTCTGGGTGCTTAAGGCTATTTGGTAAATAAAAGACAGCTGAAAATTTCAGTCATTACTGATGATGCTCCACATACAGAACAAAAATAGCATTTCTTATCTTATTAGTATTTGTATGTTTTACAGCTATTATACAGTTTAAAAAGAGAACCCAGAAAAGTTTAGAGTTTACCAAACATGTTTAGACCTTCCTTGTTTGGTTTTGATAAAGCCTTTTGCCTCTTTTGCATATATATGTATTCATACATACAGATTTATTTAATTAATATATAATTCCATCAAAGAATGATATTAAAAATATAGATTTAACATTTTTTTCTTTTTCTTTCTTTTCTGGCCAAACTTCAGCAATACAAATAATGAATAATACAACATTTTAATCTTTTTCCAATAAAATTATATATCCATATAGTTCGATTAAGGAGGCGAAACTTTCCGATTATACGTATGATAAAAACATCATTATAAATTCAAACTTTGTCGCTGAGAATGGAAAATAAATTTAGAATCTGAGGAACAAGATTTTCCAAAAGTAAATATCTTTTTTAAATTATATAATTTTAAGCAGTGTTTTTCAGAACTGTGCAATATGCATTTATTTCTTTTTTTTATTATTAATTATCTTTATTATTAAATACTTCTTCATACCAATAAGAGAAATATACAGATTTTCCTGAAACATGTTTAACTCAAAATGTCAAAATAACGTTAAAAATTTGGTGTACGGTCTTTACATGCAAATATTATAAAATTTGCTTTTACGATTTAATGTATTTAAGGCATAAAACTTTATGTAAATAATGAGAATAATATAAATAAAAAGAAATAAAAGGATATAAGTGCTTTTCAAGTATACGAAATTGGTATAATGCTTTTAAAAGTACTGTGGCTTTTTTCCAGTTCAATCACCAAAAATCAGACAAGCAATTAATATATTTGTTATTTACAGTGGTGTACATGGATAAACCAAATTCTACATTTACCTAATAACACACCTCTCATTCATTTAGCTAATTCACAGTATATCTTTGTTTATTTTTATGAACTGTGAAACTAAAACTACAGTTAATCACAGATGAAAAAAAAAACTATAAGATTTGTAAAATTATTAAAACAAAAAGATACTTTTGTT